ATTCACGTACTACTATCAAGATGGCTATAGCGTTCAGTGCAACTCGATTGTCTCTTTGAAAGAAGTTCACATCAAAGAGACAACCACAAAGTGCAGGAGCGCTTTTTTGAGTTCCTTCCCATCTCGGAATCAACCTCAGTCTCAATCGCCAGTGTGCTTTTGGAGAGACTGAACGGTCTTTTTGCCGACGACGTGAAAGTCAAACTCATTGCGCAAGCTTACGATGGAGCCAGTGTGATGAGGCGAGAGAAGGCAAAAGGTGCGTGAGCATTTCAAGAAAGGCCATTACGTGCATTGCTATGCGCATCAGCTGAATTTGATCATGCAGCAAGCTAAAAAGTAACTAGTAAACTAGTCCTCAGCATGCCTGATTTCAATGAGAAAGTCATTGACCGCTTTGCTGCATTGAAAGAGAGAAGAGAACAGTTTCAGTACAAGTAATGTAGCCTCTCTCTCTCTTTGTCCCTCCCTGTCTGTCTCTTTAACACACACACGCCCAAATCAGTTCACAGTTGATGTTGTTTAAAATAGTTATTTTTCATTTTAAAAAAAGTAAACAATTTTTTTTACAAATCTATACAATTGGCCAGAATATGGTTGTTCATATTTACAAAGCCATACAGATAGCTGTGTTTACCTTTTCTAGAAATTATTTTCAAATTCTGTTTTCAGGCAAAATGTCTATCACTGTTCATTTTCACAAATCTATACAAGAGGGCAGAATATGGAAGTCTATAAAAATTTCTTATTACCAATAACTTGCATCAATGTTTTCAGTAGCCTCTATCAAAAGCTCCTGCTTGCTCAGGTGCACATATTTCCAATTCAACCATGAGGCCTTTTTGAAGCAAGTAATGTGTATATCAGTATTGACTTATATGCTGCCCCTGTCTTCATGTTGTTGCTGGACATATCTTTTTTTAAATGTGTGTAGGTCACCTAAATCATCAGAAAAATTGCCCCCCCTGAGAATTTTTTCAGGAGCCGCCACTGCTCCTGCCAAATGTATGACCATATTAGAGACACATAATTCCCTCAGATTAAACGGGCCACAAAGTATTTGAAAACAAATCCAATTTTGATCAACTCCCATATTTATTGGGTGAAATACCACAGTGTGCAATCACAGCAGCAAGATGTGTGACCTGTTGCCACAAGAAAAGGGCAACCAGTGAAGAACAAACACCATTGTAAATAGAACCCATAGTTTTGTTTATTTATTTTCCCTTTTGTGCTTTAACTTTTTGTACATCGTTACAACACTGTATATAGACATAATATGACATTTGAAATGTCTCTATTCCTTTGGAACTTTTGTTTATTATCTATTTCACTTGCTTTGGCAATGTAAACATGTTTCCCATGCCAATTAAGCCTCTTAAATTGAAATTGAATTGAGAGCCAAAGAGAGAGAAAGCCAGAGAGACAGAGCCAGAGAGAGAGCCAGAGAGAGAGAGAGAGAGTAACCAGTTACACTACGACTCCCAGACTGCATTGCAACTCCCAGCATGCAGTGTTCCACTGGCTAACGATAGCAATTAGCAAGCCCAGCCGAAGTCTAAATATACAAGCCATTCCACATTTATTTTGGGTTATAATCATGCTATAATGCTCATATAATGCTGAATATACAGTACCAGTCAAAAGTTTGGACACACCTACTCATTCCAGTGTTTTTCTTTATTTTTACTATTTTCTACATTGTAGAATAATAGTGAAGACATCAAAACTATGAAATAACACACATGGAATCATGTAGTAACCAACAAAGTGTTAAACAAATCAAAATATATTTTATATTTGAGATTCTTCAAATAGCCACCCTTTGCCTTGATGACAGCTTCGCACACTCTTGGCCTTCTCTCAACCAGCTTCATGAGGTAGTCACCTGGAATGCATTTCAATTAACAGGTGTGCCTTCTTTAAAGTTAATTTGTGGAATTTATTTCCTTCTTAATGCATTTGAGCCAATCAGTTGTGTTGTGACAAGGTAGCCCCCCTATACAGAAGATAGCCCTATTTGGTAAAATACCAAGTCCATATTATGGCAAGAACAGCTCAAATAAGCAAAGAGAAACGACAGTCCATCATTACTTTAAGACATGATGGTCAGTCAGTACGGAAAATGTCAAGAACTTTGAAAGTTTCTTCAAGTGCAGTCGCAAAAACCATCAAGCGCTATGATGAAACTGGCTCTCATGAGGACCGCCACAGGAATGGAAGACCCAGAGTTACCCCTGCTGCAGAGGATAAGTTCATTAGAGTTACCAGCCTCAGAAATTGCAGCCCAAATAAATGCTTCACAGAGTTCAAGTCACAGACACATCTCAACATCAACTGTTCAGAGGAGACTGTGTGAATCAGGCCTTCATGGTCGAATTGCTGCAAAGAAACCACTACTAAAGGACACCAATAAGAAGAAGAGACGACTTGGGCCAAGAAACATGAGCAATGGACATTAGACAGATGGAATTGTGTCCTTTGGTCTGGAGTCCAAATTGGAGATTTTTGGTTCCAACCGCCGTGTCCTTGTGAGTCATGGTGTGGGTGAACAGATGATCTCTGCATGTGTATTTCCCTCCGTAAAGCATGGAGTAGGAGGTGTTATGGTGTGGGGCTGCTTTGCTGGTGACACTGTCTGTGATTTATTTAGAATTCAAGGCACACTTAACCAGCATGGCTACCACAGCATTCTGCAGCGATACGCCATCCCATCTGGTTTGGGCTTAGTGGGACTATCATTTGTTTTTCAACAGGACAATGACCCAACACACCTCCAGGCTGTGTAAGGGCTATTTTACCAAGAAGGAGGGTGATGGAGCGCTGCATCAGATGACCTGGCCTCCACAATCCCCTGATACAATGTAAAAAACAGTAAAAATAAAGAGAAAACCTTGAATGAGTAGGTGTGTTCAAACTTTTGACTGGTAGTGTATGTTCATACTATTGTCACCAATCAACTGCATTACACTCAAAATCACTTGAATTCAGATACTAATCTGGATGACGACACTAGCTAGCTAAATTGGCTAGCTAACCAAACCCATTATGATGGTTAGCTAGCATGCTAGCTAGCCCGACTGCTACATCAGAAATAATTATTTGCAACAATAACAACTGAGTGTAATCATAGCGAATGTCTTAAACAACAGTCCAAAACAACATATAAGCCTGTTAATATAAATATGATTATTATGAAATGTACAGGCAAAATGCAAATCACTACGGAATCCGCCCAGCTGGTTACACTTCTTCACCTTGTTCTCTCTATGCAGTGGCTTTCCCTGACTGGGGACTTTCTTGCATCCACAAAATTACACATACTTCTCTATGAGGGGTGATCGATGCCACCAAAGATTATGGATATACTGACAAGATACATGTCTCTCTGCCCTAACAATGGGAGTCGTTGTGCCACAAAGTGGCACGGTGGGTTGTCTAGCTCCCCCCTATACTTTATTTGGATTGGTGGATACATCTTATTATTGTAATCCTTTTTTGAATATTCGATGAGGGTTGTTGACATCAACCGCGTGTATTCAATGGAGAGAAACACTATGCTACTAGCCTCATGCCATGAATATGCATAGCCATCTCGAGACATCTCCGATATAAAGTGTTTTTTCTCAAAGTTGCCGGGATGTCACGTGTCCTACTTATATCAGTACACTCGTAACAACTTAAGCATTACGAAACTTCTATTAGATCAAATAAACCTCATGTGGTAAAAAAGCCATGATTTTTTTTGGTTGTTGACCAAATTTGACATTCTAATTGACCTCCATACAAAAACTCCTTGCTTGTTGGGCGAAACAATGGAAAAAACGCCACCTGCTGGATGGAGACAGATTTTCCGCTGAGTTGGGCCTCTCTCCTCTTCCTCTCTGATTCCAATAATAAGGATGAACTAGCTATGAGGGGTGATCGATGCCACCGATAAGGAGGAACTAGCTATGAGGGGTGATTGATGCCAATGATCGATGCCACTTATAAGGAGGAACTAGCGATGGTTGTGGATAACTCTGCTGTCTACCATTTGTCTGAACACGCACAGACATCATGTGGCAGTGGCGGCGTATACTTTGGAACACTTTCCTCACGACAAAGAGGCCGTAAGGTTACTATTCTTGATCATTTCCTAACGTCTTTACTTTGCGTGTGGATAAGCGTGTGTACTTTGCGTGTTGATAAGGAACATCTGACAAATGGCAATAGTCGCCAATAATCTGTCTCATTGGGTGCTCCAGTCAAAGCTAACAAGCTAACTAGCTAGCTGCCTGAGAAGAGCTGGAAAGCATTGGTCCTGATAGGTAAGCTTTGCATCTCTTCAACTTTTGATGACACTTATAAATAACGGACATTTTATTCAACTAGCTACTTAGTTTACAGCACTTTGATTGTGCATATTGATAGTGACCTGTGCAACTAAAGTAGCTAAAGTTAGTTAATAGTAAGCTAACTCTAGCTATATCTTACAGTTAGCAATCTCATTGTGTGCTGCCTTTAATGCAGACATTAGAAGCAACAAAACATTTGCCTGACCATCCATGAATATGACAACCCAGGGACCATAAGTCAGTCCATCTCAACTTTTCCTGTGACCCATCTGTACTGCAAGGTAGAAAGTTAGTTAAGTAAAGATGACTAAAACGACCCCTTTTCTAGGGTTGTTATGATATTGTAGAGTTATCCTACCTAACGGTGGCTAGTTTGAAGCTTACGTTACTGTCACTGAGATCTGTGCTTCTGCATCTATTTAACTAGCTAGCTAGCTATCAAGCACATGTCCAGTCATCACTATTCATTGTGACGATCTCAGTTGTCCTTCTGAAAGCGAGATCAGCCAGCTGTAAACCAAAGTACACAGGCAGCCCACCAAAAATACCCCCCAACGCTACCCTCGTCTTCCAGGTAACCCTCTGTCTGTCCGTCTTTCTGTCTGTATGCCTGTCTGCCTGTGAAGGATTGACATGTTTGACATTGAGAGACTGCTCAAATGAATGTTCTGCATCATCACTAAGGGACAGGGATACGCCAAACCAAACAAAGACCTACTGTACAGGATAAAGGCTTTGGAGGGCAGCTGTGAGGGCAAAGAGTTTGACAAGAGGGAACTGAAGTTTGAGTTGGGAGATGGAGAAAGCCTGGGTCGGCCAAGTGGAGTGGAGAAAGCCCTGACCGCCATGGAGCAGGGAGAAGAGTGACGCTTCAGCATCAAACACACACACACACACACACACAGACACCCACACACTACAAACCTAGTGTACAAACCTAGTACGTTGTTATTTTGAGAAATGTGTAATTGTGTGTTATGTGGGTATACAGTACCAGTCAAAAGTTTGGACACACCTACTCATTCAAAGGTTTTTCTTTATTTTTACTATTTTCTACATTGTAGAATAATAGTGAAGACATCACAACTATGAAAAAACACATATGGAATCATGTAGTAACCAAAAAAGTGGTAAACAAATCAAAATATATTTTATATTTGAGATTCTTCAAATAGCCACCCTTTGCCTTGATGACAGCTTTTCACACTCTTGGCATTCTCTCAACCAGCTTCACCTGGAATGCTTTTCTAACAGTCTTGAAGGAGTTCCCACATATGCTTAGCACTTGTTGGCTGCTTTTCCTTCACTCTGCCGTCCGACTCATCCCAAACCATCTCAATTGGGTTGAGGTCGGGGGATTGTGGAGGCCAGGTCATCTGATGCAGCACTCCATCACTCTCCTTCTTGGTAAAATAGCCCTTACACAGTCTGGAGGTGTGTTGGGTCATTGTCCTGTTGAAAAACTGAAAATGATAGTCCCACTAAGCCCAAACCAAATGGGATAGCATATCGCTGCAGAATGCTCTGGTAGCCATGTTGGTTAAGAGTGCCTTGAATTTGAAATAAATCACAGACAGTATCACCAGCAATGCACCCCCACACCATAACACCTCCTTCTCCATGCTTTACGGTGGGAACTACACATGTGGAGATCATCTGTTCACCCACACCGCGTCTCACAAAGACACAGCGGTTGGAACCAAAAATCTCAAATTTGGACTCCAGACTAAAGGACACATTTCCACCGGTCTAATGTCCATTGCTTGTGTTTCTTGGCCAAAGCAGGTATCTTCTTATTATTGGTGTTTTAGTAGTGGTTTCTTTGAGCAATTTGACCATGAAGACCTGATTCACACAGTCCCCTCTGAACAGTTGATGTTGAGATGTGTCTGTGACTTGAACTCTGTGAAGCATTTATTTGGGCTGCAATTTCTGAGGCTGGTAACTCTGCAGCAGAGGTAACTCTGGGTCTTTCATTCCTGTGGTGCTCCTCATGAGAGCCAATTTCATCATAGCGCTTGATGGTTTTTGCGACTGCACTTTAAGAAACTTTCAAAGTTCTTGAAATGTTCCGTATTGACTGACCTTCATGTCTTAAAGTAATGATGGACTGTCGTTTATCTTTGCTTATTTGAGCTGTTCTTGCCATAATATGGACTTGGTCTTTTACCAAATAGGGCTATCTTCTGTATACCCCCCCCTACCTTGTCACAACAAAACTGATTGGCTCAAACACATTAAGATGGAAATAAATTCCACAAATTAACTTTAAAGAAGGCACACCTGTTAATTTAAATGCATTCCAGGTGACTACCTCATGAAGCTGGTTGAGAGAATGCCAAGAGTGTGCGAAGCTGTCATCAAGGCAAAGGGTGGCTATTTGAAGAATCTCAATTATAAAATATATTTTGATTAGTTTACCACTTTTTTGGTTACTACATGATTCCATATGTGTTTTATCATAGTTTTGATGTCTTCACTATTATTCTACAATGTAGATATCAATTATTATTCTACCAACTTTTGACTGGTAGTGTATATGCAGAGTTTTGTGTCTACTCTGTAAGTATGGATATCTAATTGTGGTGTGTGGGTAGGTATGGATATCTATCTGTGGTGTGAATAGGTATGGATATCTAAATGTGGTGTGTATATGTATGGATATCTATTTGTGTTGTGAATAGGTATAGATATCTTATTGTGGTGTGTGAATAGGTATGGATATCTAATTGTGGTGTATGTAGGTATGGATATCTAATTGTGTGGTTTGAATAGGTATGGATATCTAATTGTGGTGTGTATAGGTATGGATATCTAATTGTGGTGTGAATAAGTTTGGATATCTAATTGTGGTGTGAATAGGTATGGATATCTAATTGTGGTGTGTGAATAGGTATGGATATCTAATTGTGGTGTGTATAGGTATGGCTATGGAAACACAGGCAGTTGCAAGTACAGTATTCCTAGTGGAGCCACTTTGCAGCACAAACTCAAACTGAACACCTTCCAGAATGTATAACCTCTCACCTGTGACCCCTCAGCATTTAGCCATAGTAACATTACATTTACATCATAACTTACTGTATTTTCTCTTCCCCAGGCCATGTAATCCTGGGAGACGATCTCAGCAGAGAAACTAGAGCAGAGCATCGTCATCATCAAGGAGAAGGGAACGCAATACTTCCAGGTGTGTGTGTCTTTGTGTGAAGGGAAGTAGCTTCAAGCAGCGGTGCAGTGTAACAGGATTTTGTGTGTGTGTGTTTGAGTGTGAGTGTGAGAGAGATAGATAGAGAGAGAGAGAGAGAGAGAGAGAGAGAGAGAGAGAGAGAGAGAGAGAGAGAGAGAGAGAGAGAGAGAGAGAGAGAGAGAGAGAGAGGAGAGAAGTAGAGAGCCAGAGAGAGAGAGGAGAAGTATCGCCAGGTGTCTGTCCAGTACAAGAGGATCCTGGAGAATGAATCAAGTTTGATTCCTGAGGGGGAGGAGTAGTAGGCACGGATGGTCTAAAGTTTGCGGGAGGAGAAGCACATTATCAAGTCAAGTTCCGTTTTTATAAATACCAACATTTGAATGAAAATTGGCGCACCCATATTTTGGGGCATATTTTGTGCATACATGGCGTTTATAAATGTGGCCCCTGGTAGTCCGAATTCGAAATTAGATTAGAAAGTGATTGTATCTAATGTATTATATTGGGATATGTTGACGTTTATTAATCAAGTAAATTATTTACTGTATGTGGTTGCATAAAGGGGCCTATACTTCTCAGACTAATAGGCCTGCCCTGTATCAGAACAGTACATGTTGATGAAAATTTTTATTGTTTAGCATGATATTTGATTATTTTAGATATATATCTAAAAACCAGCATATATACAGTTGAAAATGGAAACGTACTTCCCTTTGTCAACGTGGCGATTGCGCACTGTGCACACTGGCGCGCTTTTGGGGTTGGAAGACAGAGAGGCAGCCAGAGAAAGACAGCGAGAGCGATAGAAGGCGAGAGGGATAGAAAGAGAGAGAGAGAGAGGTTTCTCATACACAGACATTGCATTGCATTGAATGTCTTGGATGTACTCTGATTAAGTAGCCTGGACGACCACTCAATAGTTAAGCGTCTTGGAAACTATGAGAAGGCAGAGGCCACGAAGAAACAACTCCACCAATACCCTAAATACAGCATCAAACGAGGAATAATGTCGATATATAACGGGACTGGAGAAACAGGTGTAAAGGACTACACCTATGTACGGGTTTGTGCGTCGACCATCTCCTTCATAACATTGGCGTTCTTCAACATCCTCATTAACTGGACGATAGTGCTCGAGGGGCGACTCCGGGGCCATGCTCGCTTTGTGTTGGTTTTTCACCTGTTGGTGTCTGCTCTGGTGTACTTCGGGATGAGTTCTGTTTTCTACCTCCAGATCTACTTCGGCGCCAGGCCAGTGGCATCCACATGTGTGGCCATGATAACCGTCCTAATCACCAGCGCGTCCAATATCCTTCTGACTCTCACTGCTATGTCGCTAGACCGTTATTTTGCTGTCTGTCATCCTCTGCGTTACAGTTCTGTCTGGCACTGGCCTTGGCTAGTTGGGCTACTGACATGGGGACTCGCACTGGTTATCCCCCTCACTCTGTTTACCAAGACAGAGAGGCTCGCCACTGGTCCAAATGGGGAATGTGGACGGGAACAGCTGAAGAAAGGTGGCCTGGAAAAAATATTGTTGATATCTGTGTGCACGGCGCTCATTCTGTACAGTTATGTAAGGATACTGTTTGAGGGGCGACGGTTGGGAGTGATGAATCGACGCAACAGTGTCGGATGCAAGACCGTCGCCCTGCACGTTACTCAACTCGCCGTATACATCCTCCCCAACTTCGTGAACTTTGTGTTAACAGTTCTCCAGAAACAAGGTTACCTTCAACCAGGGACCAAAGAACTGTCAGCGGTGGTTAGTTTTGCCTTCTTTAGCTTGGCGCAGTGTGTCTCACCAATCGTCTACGGTTTGCGTAAAGAGGAACTCTTGGAGCAGGTGCATCGCCGATTCCCCTGTTGTTCCCGCCCCCTGAAAAGCCTCCTGGGCCCGGTTTCCCAAAAGCATCTTAAGGCTAAATTAATCTTAGAGCCCAAAAGCATTTTAAGGCTAAATTAATCTCAGAACCATAGGTTCTAACGATGAATTTAGCCTAAAATGCTTTTGGGAAACCGGGCCCTGGAGTGGACCTTGCGTGCCATAACGCCTCGTCTGCATTCCCAGCCAAGGTATGTGATCAATTATTTGTGGTTAAGATACTGTACATGCCAACATGTCCAAAAAAGGAAGTAGGCAAAACAGCAAATGACAACTATCAACTTTCTTAACTTTGTCAGAGAATATACAGTATAAAATAATAGATACGGTTTTGGTAATTATCTCTACTATTTCTGGTTGGTATACACCCGTGAGTATTTAGTCATCACCTACTGTCTTTTAGTATGTTTCCATTCAACATTCTCCATGCCACTGGGCTCGCCAAATGAGTGTGCATAATGTGTGCGTAAAGTAAGTAACACATCAGTTTTAGAAAATGTGGGATGTGAGACTACAGAAAAGCTATTCTTACCACATTCGAAATGAAACAATATTTTCTAACAAACATCACATGGCTTCGGACACCTTCATTTACCCATACATTGAATGGTTTCTTATTTCCCCAGTGAAAGAACACTGACATTCCAGACAGTCATCTCACTGGAGTTCCCACAGACCCCAGTTTGAGGGGATGTTGAGAACTAACTAGCCACCGTTCCCATAACTTCACTACCCACCAGTACTTCTCCTGTGCTCCATAGACTGGGCTGAAGACGTTTTGTACCAGACTGATAC